AAACGTTTAAGGACACTAATTAAGCGCCAACTTATGCGGCGCTATTGAATGTGTCGCGATACTTCCCTTTCTCGCGTTCATCCAATGTGAAACTTCATGATGCTATTATAGGGGTTCATTTTCTCCTTCTTCTTCTTCTTCTTCTGAGGGTTGGCGCTGTATCAAAAAACCTGGTGGTTTTTATCTGTCATAATAGTATATATTTTATTCTTTAAATAATATTCTTTTTCTTGACATTTTTAAAGTTTTTCAAGAATGTTTTTATAATTTCTAATGTTATGGTGCAACATCTCCTAAATCTCGGTTGTGTTATTATTGCTTTTTCCACCGCTTCTAAATTTTCAATAGCTTCTATGTAATCATCGTAAGAGTTCATATATTAAATCACGATATATTTTTCTATGTAGTTTATAATGAGCGAAATCCCCATCATCAAACCTATAGACATGCCAGAATATAAATATAAAAACACAAAATATGATATGATGCCATCAATGCCTTTTCGCGGTATATTGGTTGCGTCTTCAACCGGAGGTAAAACCGTTCTGATACAAAACCTGCTTTTAAATATATATAAAGGTTCTTTCGAACGATTTTTTACTTTTAGTCCGAGTGTTCATGTCGATGACACTTGGAACAGTGTAAAAACATACATAAAGGAACAAATGAACGTCGATACCGAAAAGGAAAAAACATACTTTGAAGAATACAACCCCGAAGCCCTGAACCAAATAATAAGCACACAGCACAAGGTCATAGACTATCAAAAGAAGAACAAGCAAAAAGGCTTACATTCTATTCTCATCGTTATCGACGATTTCGCCGACGACCCTAAATTCGTTCGCTACTCTAGTATCTTACATAGTCTTTTTACCAGAGGCAGACATAACGCTATTTCGGTTCTCTTATCCACTCAGAACTACAACGTCCTAGCTCCTATTGTTCGTCTGAACTCATCGGCTTTGTTCATCTTCAGGCTTAAGAATATGAACGAAGTTAATTAATAGTTTTTTGGAAGAAAACTCGGCTCTAGTGAATAAGGACGAACTCTACGAGATGTATAGATTAGCCATAAACGACGCCCCCTATTCATTTCTTTATATAAACACCAACGCCAAGGATATTAACAAGATGTTTTTTATAAGGTTCGAGAAAGCTATGACAATATCAGATCAGATTAACGAATAATTACATAAATTCACAGGTGGTAATTTGTAATAGATTTTATCGCTCTTCTTTTCCTTCACTTAATTGATCTCCTTTATCATTTCTTTCAATGCTCTAATCTGTAATCTATCAATGTTACTCAGATCTAGTTCGTTGTTGATATTATTTATTTGATTAATACAATCATTTTCAATATCATTTTTTGATATTCTACTACCCATTAATTAGACTTAATTTATAATTTAGTAAGTTCGCCTTTTATATAGGTTATAGACTTTTTCATTTCCTCGTTTTCTTTTATTGTATGTTGTAAAGCAGACCAAAGGATAGGGACGCACATAGAATAGTCAAATCTCAGATATCCATCTTTTCCCTGTATAACAACGTTGTCCCATTCGTCGGGCATTTTCTCATTAAAAAAAAAACATTAGCAATAAAACCACAATGGGATTTGTCGCCGTGCTTTTCTTTATCTATATATTTATAGGTTTTAGGAACAATGTATTTAATCAGTTCAATTGCTTTTTTGGTCTCTAGTTCTTTGATATTTTCTTTAAGTCTTTTATCGGACGAGGGGCCTATAGAACCAGAATTGCTAATATCGCCTATAATATCAATGCCTACATCATTAACGGTTAAAACATTTTTTGTTCCTATTTCTATTATTGTGTCTCCGTTTGTATCTGGATTTCTAAAAAATATTTGATCTATAGGTCCTTCTAATTGAGTATGTGTAATACTTGCTTTTTCAAAAAAATTAACGCTACTGCCTAATACTCTAAATTCTGGCGTTCCTGTTGCTCCAATATCCACATCAAAATCACCTTCGGATGTCAGTTTACCTATTGTATTAACCGTGTCATTAAATACTGTTGGTTTATTTAATGTTATTCCGCTAGTATCGTTTCAATTTATAAATATGTCTGATGCCGTCAGATCTACCGATCTGTTTGATTGAATACAGAAATTCTGTTCTATGGTTGCAATATGATTTAATGAAAAATTCGATATATTCTTCCCCTACTATTTTTTTAAAATATTATTGTTAAATGTATTACTAGAACCATTGAAATTACAATCACCAGAAAAATTAGCACTACCGCCACCTGCTACGTTTAATCGTGTCGCGCCTCCTGCGATCGCTCCAATACCGAGGTTGTTGCAATATACAGCACCTCCTGCTGTTGCTGTATTTAATAATAGCAAAGATTGCGAATTGTTGGATGTATTATAAGCGTTAATATTAAACGAATGCATTTCAATATATCCTTGAGCATTCTTGACAGTTAAAACATTACTGGCGTCTGTTGTGTTTTTATATACTTCGATACCGTTAGAATTTGTTGATGTTTTTGTATCTCCGTTCATTGCAATATTGTTATCAATTTCCAAACTATCCACTTTCGTAGGTCCTCCTACTGATAAAAAAAATAAGCTTTCATTTGCTTTACCTATTCCCACTTCCGCATTTGTTAAGCTTCCTAATCGCATCCTGTTAGAATTACTAACTGCCGAATTATCGTTTAAAATCATAATATTGCCGTCTTCCGTATTGGCATTGGTGCATCTCAAATTGTTATTTGTATATATCCACTGTGCCGTGCCGTCTCTAATTCTTAATGTTGGATTGGTATTATTAGATACTCTCCATAACGAAATACCGTTTGTTGATACTGGTAATAATATTGTATCGTTATTAAATGATGTAGCACCATTAATAAATAATTGTTTATAAAATACTGTCGCGTTTGTCGTATTATTACATTCTACGAATGTGTTTGTGTCAGTATCGTCATTTGGTCCATTGATTAATCTTATGGCTGATGCTGTTTCGTTTATTGATAAATCTAACGAATTATTAGATTTTGTAGCGTTCGTGTATCTTTCAATGCTTGTATTGCTATTTACTAATTCAATAGGATTACTAACACCACCACCACCGCCACTTACTCCTGCTATTAATCCATCCGCCTCAGATTCATTATAAAAATTAGTAGCTAATTGGCTATTAGTTTGATAATTTGCTGTTAGGGTAGCTGTAGTTGCATAAGGTGCTAATGCTGTATTATCAATCCAGTTATTAGCGTCTATTTCCGTTTTGTTATAATATGCGGTTGCTATTTCTACAGTAGTTGAATAATCGTTCGTTAATGTAGAAGTTAAAACATACGGAGCGAGTGCCGAAGCATCGATCCAATTGTTGGCGTCTATTTCGCTTTTGTTATAAAAATTATTATTTAATTGTGTTGTTGTTTGAAAATTGTTTGCTAATTTGTTACGGTAATAACAAAATTTTGTCCGTTATTTACAGCTATGATTGGATTTATAGCATCGTCTAAATCCTGCTGTGATATTCCTCCTCCGCCTCCTCCGCTAACCTCGATATTTGCTATTTCGTTATCCACATAATCTATTGTCGCGTATTGGTCGCTTAATTCAGAAACGCCCGTTGTGAAGATCTTAAATATTTGATTTGCGTAAATCGTTTTTAGGGTATTTATAGTAGCCATTATTAAATTAAGTAGATTATATTTAATTTAATAATGTTGCATTTTCCCTTAATCTGAAACGGTTGAGGCACTTTCAGAGAGCTCGAATACATGTTCGCTTACCATGGTAACGAAGACACGTTCGATACCTAAGGCGAAGTTTTGGTTGGCTCCTTTGATTTTAAAAGTTATAAGAGATCCCATTTTAGTGTTGGAACCAGTAAAATTAACGCCGGGCTGCTTATCAAAATTTATTCCTCCGATGAACTTGTCGTTGGCGTAGCGGTAAATATCAATGCTGAAACCGTCGTAATAAGGGGACATTACATTTACAGTCCTTCGTAAGAAATACATAAACTCGGCGATGCTTGTAATTTCTTGCTCGGGGAACTTCTTGTTTGCTATTTGGATTTGTGCCGAGATTTGCCTGTTGCTGTCGATGACGCCTTCCAAGTTGTCGATCGTTACCGCCATCGGATGGAAAAAGTAATTCAATTTTTTCCGATCGTAGTTTCCTGCCGTGTTGTCGTTGTCGATGTTGTTGTTGCTGAAGGTGAAGAACATTTGAGACAAGCGGGTCGAAGACTTAACGATATTCATGTTGATTTCCGTATTTCCATTTGAGAAGGTTTGAGAAAAACTGTGATAGGCGGGATAAACCATTCTAAGCCGACCCCCTTTCAATAAATGCGAAACTATGTTATTATTAACGGTATTATCCACCTGTATCAATTCGCATCGAAGAATTGCGTTTTGAATGGACCAGCTAGTCGTCGTGTTTCTTTCGGTAAAATATTTTCCGTTTTCGTCGACCGCGGCTTGGGTTGCTCCGTTTGTCGCCGGTTTGATCACGGGTTCAGCCGCATCGGAAACGATTTCGAAAATAAATTCGATCGGGCAATACCGAATTGGCGGATAATACCCAGATTGAACGAACCCGCAACATGGCTTATGTCCCATCCGCACGAATTTACCCTGTTCTATTCCCGTTGTGTTTAATCTGGTAAGCTTCGGTAAAACGATACCTCTGTCGTTTCGACTGGTGTTTGCGGTTGCGTCGTGTCCTTCTATGCTGTAAGCGTAAAGTCTGTTAATTCTGCTGTCGTATCGGGTAAGACAACCTTCTTGAATGTCGTCTAAATTTCGGACTTCGTCGGATTTAAACGATTTCATTTGTTCGCAGACCTGATTGTAGTTGTCGATGTCGTTTAACTGCTGTCCCGCTCCATTGCATCTATAGGGATAAAACGTGTAAGGCGTTAGCGGGGGGGAGCGGGAGTTACATAAGGCTAACCCTAACTAAAGAGGGGGGGGGTCCGGGTTTCCCCGCCTTGGGGCTGGGAGGCCGCTGCGCCGGTGGTCGCTGAGTCCTGTCGGCAGAGCGGGGGCGGCGTGGGGCTGCTCTTCCTCTTCGGCCAAACCGGCAGCGGCAAGACCCACACCATGCGGGAGACCCAAAAAAGAGAGGTCTAGGAGAGAGCACTCGATGTCTTTTCCACAGAGGCGTGCGATCCACGAGCTCGCGGCGATGGAGATCTTCAGCACCGATCCGGCCCCGATCGCCGTGGGCGTGCAGTTCTTGGAGCTCCGCGGGGACAAAGCCTTCGACCTCCTGGCAAGCCCAGAAGGACCCTGAGAGCGGAGAGGTCGGTGACTGCAGTGCTTTCTTCCTGCTGTGTTTTCCTAGGAAAGGCGAAGACTTTCCCCGAGCTGCGCCTGCGGGAGCACGCCAACGGCACCTATCACGCTGAAGGCCACTTCTGGAAGAAAGGCCCTGTGCACCATGTGCGGCCCTGCAGAGTGCAGAGCTGCTTAAAGGAGCCATGGAGCTCTATCCACGCTGTCCAGAGGACATGCGAGTGGTGCTGGACCCGTGAAAGCACCCAGAGAGTCCTGGAGCAAGCGCCTTGCGTCCGCTGACTTCCGCTCAGCGACTCTCTCAGCTCTCAGGAGACGGCACATGCTCGACGCAGGACCTCGGCCACAGGAGTGCCCACGGCCGCAAGGACTCGTCTTAAGTTTCAGGTGGTCAGAGACTGTAGACTTGACTTAGAGTGCTGCGATCTGAGGCGAACGCGGTGTCCTCCCGGAGCCACGGCGTCTGCTTGGTGCGGATCCAGCAAGCGGATCCGAAAGGCTCGCCGCAAACCGCCGCGAGCGGGACGATCGGGAGCCGGCCGAGCCGGCCCGCCGCGCAGAAGGGTCAAAAAGCACCGCCGGGTCTGCTGGTGCTGGTGGACTGCGCCGGCACGGAGCGCAAGAAGGAGCGACTCCGAGCGGCAACGCAGAGCGATGCGGCGATGCGCAGCGCGCGTTCAAGCGTCGGCCGCTCCTTCTCAGGACTCCAGGAGCCACTCCAAGGAGCGGCAGCAGGAGAGCGCGGAGATCAACGCCTCGCCCGGGGACTTGGAGCCGACACTCAGTCGGTCGACCGAGTTCTGAGTTCCTCTTCTTTCGTTGAAACAGGCTCTACGCTTTGAAGGACTGCTGCCGTGCCCTGGCCTCCTTGCCCAGGGTCCCGCTGCAAGCTCAGCGCAAGCGCTCAGCGCAAGCCTTCGTGCAGTGACGGATCTCACCGTTGAGGCCTCACACCGTTCGGGCCTCCTCCCTGACGAAAGTCTTGGCACAGGCCTTCCTGCAAGAGAGCAGGCCAGGGAGAGACCGAGAGAGAGTCCGACGAGTCCTTGGCTCCGCTCAGCCGCTCGGCTCCACTGCTTGTTTCCGAGGCTCGCGGTGATCTGCACGGTGTCGCCTTGCGCTTCCGACACGGAGCACACGGCCGCTCGGCATGGCCTGGGCATGGCTCGGCACAGCCAACGCAAAGCAGGTGACAACGCTTCGATTGGGCACCTCTCTTGCGGGATGCTGTGAGCAAGAGGAGAAGGAACCCAAGCGTCACGGCGTCACGTCACTCTTACATCGCTGCATTGGTTCTTTGCTTCTTTTTCAGCTTCTGAAAACTTTTGCGCTTCTGCAGGATTTCCTGGAGCCCTCAGAGCGGTGCCACGGGCGCCACGGGCCCTCGAAGGGTCCCAAGCAGTGGACGCCGGAGAGCCGCCCCGGGCCCCACTTGAAGCGCGCATTTGCGTCAGATTTGCGTCACGCCGCCAGAAGAGAGCGACTTAGAGAAGGAGGGAAGTGTTCAGGCATAGGCTCACGCAGATGTGGGACCCAGAACGGCTGAAAAGGAATCACGTGGCTCCACCACCATTCACCGACACCCCGCTGAACTAATCTTCTGGGCATGGTCGCACCCAAGTCCCGTGCTTGAAAAAGAGACCACAGCAAGGATACCTGCAAGATATAACGGCACCGAGTGCCTACAGTGCCGATTCACTGCCCGTGGCTCCAAACCGCCAAGACATGAAAGTCGAAAGCAGGAAGACCGGAAATGTCAGTACGCGCGTGTGTGTCTGTCCGTCCACGCATGTATGTGTATGTGTATGTATATATATATATATGAGAATATGTCATACATGCATGACCCCCTTGAGCATCCGCATAGTGTCCATGGTAGCCAAGTAATTTTTGTACTACCCCCTCCTCTTCTTTTCAACGACGAAGTACTGTGTTCTGCCCTTCTCCTTCACGGCACTGGAACAGGAATAAAGTCTCTGCATGTGTTCTGCCCTTTTCTTTCCCCACACTGGAACCAGCATACAGCCTCAGAGATTTGCCGTCAGCGTTCTTCTGGACAGCACCCACCCACTCACGAAATTCATGTTAAAGCAGTCAAAGCATTATTGATTGCGTTCCTCTTTACGTATCCAATTATCTGCGCGAAAGGTGCGTTTCCAAAGCCCTGAATTACAAACCCCAAAAAGAGTCCGAGCGGTGTAGAGGGCACGTATGCATTACCGGTATAATACCTGCCTTTAAGTTCTCGAACAGTAGTTACGATGCACGGGTGATTGCTGCCAAAATACTGGTCGTCGAGTACTCGCTTGAAGCTTGGTGCCTGCTATTAAACCGCGTGCACTTTTCATGATGTAGCTACTAAGACTAAGACTTACTAGGTGAAGAGCAGAGTGAACGTTGCACACGCACATGCCATTTGGCTCAAGACACAAAAAGAGTGTTTCGCACGCTGTCTCGTCACACGTGCATGCCATGTAAATACAGTTTTTAACTGCCTCAGCTTCGTGGTCACTGTGGTAGGTTAGGCGCAGCCTCTCGACACCGTGGTGTTTCTCCGCATTCCATATCCACACACCTGCCTTGCGAAACAGGAGCCCAGGGCTCTGCCATACACAACCTGCGCGGAAAGAGCCAAAGTAAAGCTCATTGTCATGTTACATCCTTGCCATGTCACCGTTGGACTTCCACGTGATGTTCCATATTTCGAAGATAGCAATTGAATGCAACGCACAAAATCAGAGGAACACCCCGCCGTATTTCAGACACTTCGTTGGGTGTACTTTGATCTGAAGTGGGAGTATGCTCATCCTTCTGTCGCCCGGAACGTGCGAAAGCTACGTATCCGCATCAAGTGGGAAAGGGTTTTTGCGTAGGATTCTGAAACGGTGGTTTCGCTTCGGGGCAGACTTGTCCAAATACGCAGACTGCGAACAATAGGTACTTCCGTCCTTGGTTCGTGGAGGATCATATCGTTCCACGGTACTACCCTTAGCCAGGTACTTTTGCTGTGCGCATCTCCGCCTTCGCGTGTCGAGGTGTCTCCACTAAGGGTCTGTAATGAAGCCACGCCAAACCTATAACGAGCAACCACCCATATCCCCTTGGCAATTTGCCTGCCTAGCAGAGGCGCGGGTCGGTCTGGTTGTCCAATGGGCCTTGCTTCGAAAATCTTTGGAAGCTGTGATTGAGACTTCGGCGGCTTCCTTCCAGTTTGTTAAAGCACCACACTCTCCTCCGTTTGCGGCTCAAAGCGGCCGTTCTGTGTGCCGACCCGACTTGATTTAGGTTGCCAGTTGGACCATACAGGCTTGCCACCATCGCCTAAGCTCACGGGGGTTTGGTTTTGGACCTTGGGTGAATAGCATTGGCTTGCCACCATTGCCTTGGCTTCAGACTGTCATCCTTGTCGGCCTCGCCAGCTTTTTCTGGGCGCTAGTCTCGCAGGCTTGCCACCAGCACCTAGGCTAATTTGACTTTGGGAGCAGTGGGTCGATTGCATAGGCTGGGTCACCGTTGCCGAGACCTTTCTGAAGTTCTCCCGTTTCACCTCATGTGGCAGAATTTCTCACAAGCGGTGATACACCGCACCGGCCGGAGTGTCTGACTATGCTTGAATCTTGCGGCCTCGTTAACCATCGGTACTGCCATCTCACCACCGGCCGGTTTGCGTGCGCAAGTTTACCACATCTTGAAGGTCCGTGAGCGTCAGCCGGAAGGCGCCGTCCAAATTGAACATTCCCAGAGGGACACACACATTCTCTACTGCAGTGGCCGAATTGAGACCCATTTTGGACGTTCCTTCGGAACCAGCTGTAGCGCCAGCTTCTGCGCCACCTGTTCCTGGACCATCTACTCCTCCTGCAGCAGCCGCGGAGCGATCAAGGTCACCACCATAACACGCCCCCGCCACCTCAGGGCCTCGGCCTCAGCATACAGGCAACAAACCCCCCGTTGCCCCTGCAGCTGAAGGCGTGTTTTGGTGGCGAGACCAAAGCAGAAAGCTCGGCCGACAGCACGGCACGTGCCTGACTGGGAAAGGGAATACCCTAGCGTTTCCGAGTCTTTCGCTTTCATTCCCCAACCCGATCCAGCTAGAGAAGCGGTGCAGAAGCGACTGGACGACTTCCCAGTGGCAAGCTTGTAACGCACGGGCCGATCGCCCAGCAGTCCCGTCAGCAGCTGCATCATCTTCCGATGGACCCGAGGTCGTGGTTACCTTACCTGACGAGCTGGGGCCTCGACCGCGGCGACGGGCTTTTCTCACACTAGATGTGCATGGAGTTCTCGATTTGTCTGATCACGACTCGCGTTTATTCCTGAGCGAACCTCGTTTACGTGGATCTTGAACTTTTGGTTCCGTCGTACACCGGCTACGAGAGGAGTCTTCGGACCAAGGCCGACATCCAGAGAGGGCTCCCCGATTTGGATATCTATGTCTGTGGTAAACCAGGTACGGGCGGCAAGCCTGAAGCTAAGCTCTCGCGTGGTATCGTCGAGACCGGGGATTGGGCTTCAAAGCTTCAGGGCTGGTGGATGACCGTAAGGACATTATCACTAAAGTTCTTTGCTGGCGCAGGTCTCTCCAGGAGTGAAGTGAGTGATGGCGGAGAGGTTCTACATCACAAGGGGGATTAGATCTCAGTGGGGCTTTGCTAACGTTTCTTTTGCGACCGCGGTTGGACTTGCTTTTCGCTGCGCACCAGTTCCAGTTTCCGTTTTGCGCCAGCACAGACATGCATATCTGTTGTCACGGTCAGACTCACGGTTCATTATTCTGTATTCTTCAACTTCGGGTACCAGACTGGGGTCACTTCATGTCGCCCCCGCATGCGCCGGCACCCTCTCTGCATGCACCTTGGTATGTGGATTATGTGGAGGGTCGCTTCGATGTGAACTTATATTATCATGACTGGCCGGATCCCTCAGAACCATCCACGCCAACAGTGCTGGACTCCGATACGGATCAGTCATGTTTTTCAGTGCGTGCAGTGGAGTACATGCCGGATGCCAATGACGAGGGACCACCCAGGCTTCGCTTGCCTTTCCACATTGGCAGGCCGACCTTGCCACTGATTGAGCCCGATCCTTCACTGCTGCAGAGTGTGTGGCAAGGAATTTTCTCTGCAGAGGAACTTTCTCTACAGTGGCAGCTTCTTTGAAGATCAGTTGACCTCACTGTGGCAACTTCCGCCTGACAAACCGCGTGAACATCAAACCTTCCCGGTAGGCGACTCTTTACAAGCCTCCTCCTTCACCACAGGGGCTTTTCAAGCTGGTTGATTGGTCGGTGTCCGCAACACAATGCATCTCAGCTGCCGTGGGTCACAGCTCTTCTCTGTCATATTGTGCATTCCATCATGCGAGGCGAATGTGCTAGTGATCATCGCTTCACTTCGCTCACACTGCTGCGGAACGTGCACTCTGGCACACATCGCGAGGGCATTCCTGCAACAGCTTGCTGATACCATTGAGCGGCTTTTCAGGTGGTGAGCTGTGGTGCGAGGGCGATGTAAGTTATCCTGGCACTGATCTGCGGGGCACGGCGCATCAGCTGACTCCGCCTGGTGATCGCGTGATGCTGGCTGTCTATCATATGAAAACTCCGCAGGGGTTGAGTGACGGTGAGATGCAATTCCTTCGACAATTGGGTTTTCAGCCGTTACAAACCATAACGAGTCTGCCCAGCAAGTGAGTTTCTGGGCTGGAAGCGTGTTAGGCGACCTTCGGGACAGGACGCTGGGTGTGAAAAAAGATCGTCGCTGAAGTTCAACACTCGGCTTCTCCGGATTTTTGCTGCCTGCTGGGAGGACGCTCTCGTCTCTCCGGCCTGCCATCACGGCTTGGCTGAATTCTCTCTGTGAGAGAGAAAACAGGTGACGACAGCGAATCTTCGCCGCGACCTATGCGAGCATTGAGCTGCCAAGGGGTTCATGTCCAGCTAAAGCGCCCTGGTTCCGCCACCAGCTTACGCACATTCGATTGCCTGCTGAGTTCCGGCATAACCAGCAGGTTCGACAGGAAGTGCATCTTGGTCTTGCACGGGGTTGATCCTGAAGCCCACTCCCATGCCATCGCATGCGGACTTGGCCCACATGCAGGCTCAGAACATCCAACATCAAGCACTAGCATTGGTCCAGGGTGTCCCGCGCTGTAAGTTCGGCACAACAGGATGCTAGGTAACGGGCTTTTGAGTACGGTAACAGGCTCAGTGATTAGGCCGAAAGGCAGGTGCATTTGGTATCCCAAGGGGCCCAGCAGCATCTCGCGCAAGCCAACGAGACCATTTCGGTACTCAGGGCTCGGAATAGGGCTTGAGTCCACCGAGCAGCAAACGCACGTTCAAATGGTTGTGGACTCAACTCGTTGTGACTCCTTGATGAGCTCCGGGAAGAGGCCAGCGAGGAATCAATCAGAGATGCAATCAATCAGAGATGCATTAAGGCGACCTGGGGCCAAAGTAAAGGCCCACCCCAGCGTCGCCCACACCTGCCACTCAAGCTCCACCAGACGAATGGACAAGGAGGAAAAGCGTTCTTGAGGGTGATAAGGGTAAAGGTAAAGCCAAACAAACCACCCAATAAGCCAAAGGCTACAGGAGAAGGCAAAGGTGCAAAGGCCGAGAGTACAGCTTTTTGCCAAAGGCGAATCCACCCAAAGCGCCGCATGCCTTGTCGGAACCTGCAACCGAAGTGAGAATTGTCCATTCTCTGGCCAGACGGCTCCCGGGAAATCCACTGCGCCAGCAGCCACGGATCAGCTGCCACGGCTGCGGCTGTCGCCCTTTGCAGCACAGCTCAAAAGCACAGCATTCAACGAGACTCTCGAGCTGGATTTCATTTGGCCCGTGTCATGCAATTCGACATGCGGGACCCCACGCCTTACGACACCTCGGCCACTTCATATGGTGCGGGGTGCAACGGCCCTCCAGCTTCAAGCTCGGGGACTTTGCGCCCGTATCGCCAACGCCATGGCGGTGACTCACACGACTTCAGTCAGGCTCCCAGTGATTTGGCCGCCACACAGTTTCGCGGACGATGGAAAAGTCAAGCCAGCGTCCAGCAATTAAGGGGGGCGCCTGGCTCCGCTCTTCGCAAGCCTTCCAAGGGAGCTGCAAAAGCAGGCCATAGACAGGACAAACAATCTCCGGCCCAACAAAAGATAGCTACGGTCAGGCCGCCTGCGAGGACTTCATCACGGCACTCCTTGTAATGCTTTTCGTAGGGCTCGTGATCGCAGCCCGATCCGAACTCTCCCCGTGCGATGCTAACACACATGTCAATTTGATGTGTATGCCCAATGTAGCATGTTTTAGGGCGTATTCTTCGTAAGTCGTACCACGGCTCAAGACAAGACTGTCAGCGGGAAAATAGTGGAAGTCCGTGCCGTGTGCTTCAAGGGATTAAGAAGTGACTTTGGTGGTAAGAGTTCTAAACTTTCATGGTAGCGGAGCTGTTGGCAAAGACGAGCAGCTGATCAAGCAAAGATCCAGGGAAGCCAGCAAAGAGCTGGAAAAGTGAAAGGATCGAAGGAAAGAGTTGATAGCAGGAAGTTAAGGTTAAGTCCGAGAGCATCCTGCAGGAGAAGAAGAAAGTGAAAGACCTTGAGCCAGCTGAAATTCGAGATCAAGTGAAGTACTGCTGAAAAGATGTCTCAACAAGAGCAACAGTATGGACCGCAGCAGCAGCCGCAGCAGCCACCGCAGCAGACACCACAGCAAGCACAGCAAATGAGGTTTGAGCAGCTGATGCAGAACTTAGGGCAAGCTACTGAAGCTGTGTCAAGAGTAGCAATCCGGACAGCTACCCAACAGCAAACTCTTACCGCCACTCTCCAGCGGATCACGGAAGCAGCTGGACAAGGAAGTACAGCAGCACCTTCCACAAGTGGAGGAACAGGAACAGCAACAACATCGTTCGATACAGGTGGAAGAATCCAAAAAACCTCCAGAAGCGTTCAACCCGGCCACAACTCAAGAGGAAGTGTCGCAATGGAGGTGTCGCAATGGAGCGACTGGGCGTTTACGTTCAAGAACTTTCTAGCGTTTATGGACCAAGAGTCTTGAAGACTTGAAGAAAGCTGAAGAAGAAGCGTCAGAAGTCCTCCCCAGGAGGACCGTTCCTCACTGAAGCTGGAAAGTCAGGAAGGAAACTCAGAGGATTGAAGTTGTATTCGGTGTTTAGCAGCTATCTGAGGAATCGTCCACTCAAAGTGCTCAGAAGTGTTGAAAACATGAATGGGTTCGAAGTATGGATAAAGTTTACGGCAGAACTCGAACCAAGCTCAAGATCACGAAGTCTAGCAATGGCACAAGCATTAGTTGGATTCCCGGCAATTTTCAAAGTAGCATCGTTGATGGATTACGTGTTGACATTTGAGAAGCTAGTGTCACGGTATGGGGAAGCTCAACGAAGTACGATGACAACCTCAAGATAGGAACACTCCTGAAAGGAATACCGAACAACTTCAAGCAACACATCATGGTTGTTATTGCCGAGAAGACGGCTTATGCTGAGCTAAGAACAAAGCTGTTACAGTACGAAAGAAGCAACCAAACTTGGTCAGCTGAGAACATATTGGGATCGTTAAGTGTGCAAGCCCCAAGCTCACACTCAAGCAACAAGGAATATTCAGGACCCTTCCCAGTGGGACTCCACAGGCTTTACAAAGGAAAAGGTGACGAAGGCAAAGGTGGAAAACATGGAAAAGGTGGAAAAGGAAAAGGAAAAGGTTACTACGGAAGAGGCCGAGGCTTCGGAAAAGGCAAAGGAGGTAGAAAAGGAAAAGGACGCGGATTCGGAAGAGGAAAAGGTGGAAAGCACGGAGAAGGAAAAGGAGGAAAAAAGCATTCGACAGCAATAAAGGCGGAAATCCACATTCATCGTTCCAGATCCACCTTGTTGCTGAGAAGCGCCTGGAGATGCTGCCGCGCTCCCCTGTCCAATTTGTCTCGGGTAGTTGTAGCTGGCGTTCTGCATGATGCCGCCACACACGACCCCAAGTGTACATGTGCGGCCGTTGACTTCGAAGACTCCGTCAATCAGGTTCACGACTGAATTCAGGGCAAGTTCCCTTGAGGAAGAATGGAGTTCTTGATGTGGGTGAGAAGGCAAACCCGGTTGTTCCTTGGGTTGATATCCTTCCGCCATTGTTCTGTCCGGCATTGGAGGATTACTTGCACGTCCTGAGAATCGCCAACCATAGTTTCACCCATCCCAGCGTCACCATCTCCTGAACCAAGTCATCGCAGGGAAATCGACGGGTAGGCCTTCGGTTATCCGGAAACGTACCTCGCGACTTCATTGTCCTTCTTCGGCGTAGCCCTGGGAGCAACGGCGGTGATCAGTTCGATGGCTTCTGCTGATGCATATCGCCAACATGATCGTTCAAGTCCACGCGTACATGCGTTTGCACCTGAAGCACCTCCCTAGTTGTGAAATCTGGTTGGAGCAAAGGAAGGAATCCTGTCCAAAGGCTTCGAGTTCTTCGTGCGGGATTGGCCCGTTGCTCGACATTGACGCTGTGGGACCCACGGGTCGGTTAGTCCCAAAGTGGGACGAAGAGCTTCCAGACCGCATCATCGGCAAGCTAAGACAGCTAAGAGATCCAAAACTGGTCAAAGGGGAGCTGGAGCATTGGCACAAACGGCTTAACGGCGGTGGCAAAGTGTACCTCAACCATGATGGTGAACCGTGCAGGTTTGACAAGAGAGGCGTCCCATACAAGGTGGGAAGCGGTGGTCGCCGTATCGTGCCACCAAGCGCAAGTACACACTAGAAGAATGAGGCACGTTGGGTGTGAAGGCTCCTTTCAATGACACCTCTCGTGGATGTGCTGCGGGAGGCTGTAAAGAGGGCAGCTGTGACCTGTTGTAGGTCCCGCTATGTTGGTACGGCTGCACTTCCACCGGTGCATCGAAGAGACTGGCAACAGGGATGGTGGTTCGAGCCAGGGCAACCCAAGCATTGTGGAACCGTTCTGCAAGATCAGTTCGACGTAGCCTCCAAAGCCAACAAATTACGCAACAATTGCTAGATTGATTACCACCCTGTATATGGACATTGTGAATCCTCCGCCCTGCAGCAATGCAAGCAGTGGCAAAGCTCAAGGCCGCTTTTACAGCCTCTATGCCAACTTCTGCTTCAGCGTCATAGGCGTCCTGACAGCTAAGCAAGGGAACAGATACAGGAACTGCCAATGCTAGGGAGATTTTCGTTTCACCATGTTTCACAGTTTTATTACTCTATGCCAAAAGTCTGAGTCAGAACCTGACTGTGTGCCTCGACAGTCAAAGTGAACTATGTGTAGATGGGTATATATATATATAATATGTATATACAAGTGTACATATGTGTACAGATATATGTCGAAAAATGGGGTGTGACGCAAGCATTGTGCCGGCCTGGCTTTGCATGAACCAGTGCTCGATTACTTGCATTTACGGGCTTTGGGGTTCGGGTCGCGATTTTCGTTTTCGGAGAAGTTGAAGAATCTCGATGATCCTCCATGTAAAGTTATCTGATTATGTAGAACGATGCCAACGACCTTCGACGTTTGGCTCAAGATGAAAAGAAGCTTCGTTGAGCGCTGCTTCTGCTTTCGGGGTTGGGTTTCCTTCGGTTCCCCTGCCCTCTCTTCTCGTTCCTACCCTAACATAGTTGCTTCTGTGTTTGGGGTCGGATTAACTGGTTATCAGCCGTATCAGTTCTTTCGTGTGGATTGTTTCAGGGTCTAGGATTGTGGACCCATGGACAACAACCCGCCTCGTGAGGAAGAGCGTATTCCAAGGTCTCTCGACGTGAGACACACTCGGGGAGGCGCTGCAGCCCAGAGGAAGCGGAAAGCATATCAGCTATATATCTTTCTGCGCGATCAGGACTTGGGCATTTATACAGATCCGTCCGAAGTCCCTTTCCGTCGCCCTGACGGCTCTACTCGAGCCGTGGTGCGCCGTCAGGAGACGGCTCCTTTTCAGGCTGTGGAAGAGCAATCGGAAGTGATCGTTATTGACGAGCAGGCCCCGGAGACTCCGCCGCCTTCTACGCCATTTAGTCCGTTTCATCGGCTTCATCCTTCGACTCCTATTCTGAAGGCGAAGACAACGGCTCCATCACCTCCGCCCGCTCCTTCGTCATCAAGCTCTTCAACTCCGAGGCTTTTGCCGACTCCAAAGCCTTTGTTGACTCCATCGGCTTCATTGTCATCAGGCATTCCGGCTCCAAGGACTCCACCGAAGGCCCCGCATCGTGGAGCTAAGGACCCATTGCGAACTTCGCCGCCGTCTACTCCATCTTCGTCAAGTGTTCCAAAGACTCCACCGAAGGCTCCGCCTCGTGTGCCTAAGGAACCTTCGCATCCTCCACCAGCTCAGGTGCCGCCTCGTGTGCCGAAGGAACCTTCGCATCCTCCGCCACCTCAGGTGACAGAAGTTCCTCGTGTTATTGACTTCCGTCCCCTGCAGACAGAGGTGCTAGACTTTGAGGGTGTTAAGGTGAAGCTTACGGAACCAGCATTCGAGAGATTCTCTTTTGGTTTGAGCTTGGATTTTCACGGAGTGTTGGATCGATATCACAACAAGTCGACGAGCTGGACGGATCCAAGGCCCGAGTTCCCTTCGGAGTGTGTGGCAGCCTTGCGCGATCTTCATTCGTTGGTTCCACGCTACGGGGGTTTATTCTTCGTCTGCAGTTACTGTCATCACGAGGACACCAAAAGGCACGTGGTTGAGACGACAGTGAACTCCTGTGATACTCTGTTCACGCAGATCGGGGAAACGCCTATTTGCCTCATTTTCATTACGAGGAAGGCCACTGGTCCGTTGGGGAAGCGTGCAGTGCTGGAGAAGCTGGCAAAGGAGATTGAGCTCCCCATCATTCACGTCGACGACTCCGCGGACGTTTGTGACGAGCTGGCGGGTTCTCAGCACGTCATTCCTCTGCATATTGCCATTCCGAAGAGATCCAAGGGGGGTCGTGGACAGCGCACTATTTTTCCGCGTGCTCCGGTGCCTTCCTTTGACAGCTTTCCGGAGTGTACTGGAGCTATCAGAGGTCAGGTGCAGAAGTGGTTTCTGGACGCCTAAAGGTCGGGCCTACCGTCCAGTTGTTCGGCGCTGAGCGCCTCCTCTGGCGACTTCCGCGGCAGTGCGATTCTGGTTTATATTCGGGACTCGGTTCTCAGCTCCTGAGTAAATTCCGTTATATTCAGTTCAGGGTGGTCTGAAAACGGACTCGGTTTCTAGTCTCTTGGTCAGGGTAAGTTTGGCTGCTCAAGCGCCACTACCCGCGCTGTGAACGTGTGCATTGTGCCTTGCACCTTGCGCAAAAGGCCTTTCCTTTCGCCTCCCGTCTGAATCATGTCACAATCCCAATCAACACCCAACTGATCCCAGTTCACTGCTGGACATTTCGAGTGCATCAGCTGCGGCCGTCCCAGGTATGAGGGATTCTTCCTGTGCTTCAGGGGGGACCGATAGTAGTTCAGCTTTGGCAGAACGTGAACGTTCGCCTCCTATGAGTCGGAGGGCTTTAGCTCGAACTCCTCGGAAAGCATCTTCCCCATACCCTGCTAGTAACATCCCCGTTGATAATGCGTCTGCTTCTACTTTTGTGCACAACCAAGTGCTGAACGTAGGGGCATCTCCCCAGCAAGTTCTCGCCGCTCAGCAATTTGCTGCTGGGGAAGCTGCCAATCTTGTCGCCGCTCAGGCGAGCTTCTTCACCAAGCTTCCATGAATGAGGTACAACGCCAAGTCAGGGACGTGCTGAACGAAGCCGAAGCCGGGTCAGCCGTTGATCAGCTTCGGGAACAGCTCAGGCTTTCGGAGATTAGATGTGGGGAATTGTTTGAGTACGGTCAATTTGTTGAACGCCAGCTTGCGGAGGCAAAGGCAGAGTTGAATATGTTGAACTTTCAACTTAATCAAGTCCGAGTAGAGTGTCAGATCAAGGAGAGAGAGATTCAGAGGCTTCGGTCGGCTGCTCCATGCGCCTCGACCTCCGGATCTCCTCCTAAGCCTCCAAAGGCTGAAGCTTCCGACCCTCCCACTGAGGGCCTGCTGTACTCGGGTACCTTTGTTCCTCCGCCCATATCTTCGTGTCCTGTCCCCCCTCAACCTACGTCACCTGTGTCAGACCCTCGCGTGGATCAACTGATTGAGGTGGTTCAACAGTTAATCCAACAGGTCGGTCAAAATGCTACGGGTACTGCTGAGAACAATGAAGATGGTGAAGTTGAAGACCAAGAAGCTAGCTTCGGGAAAAGGACATTGTTGATCAAAGAGCTCTCTTGCATCTTAAGCTTGAACCTGTTCCTTCAGATGCGGCAAGTTTCCGAACTTGGAAGAACGGTTTCAAAGTTCAGTTGTCCAAGCTTGACACTTCAGGTCAAGGTCTTGTGCTGGCTTGGGTTTCTAGGAGAGCTGACCTGCAAGATTCGGAGCTCCTTCCTCGTCTTGACGCATGGATAGCCGGTGAGCTGTCGTCAGGGCGTGTGCTGAAGCAGTCATCTGAACTTGAACAAGACCTCCATGAGTAAACCTCACCTGACTGGTAAAAATCGGAACATGCTCTTCTACGCGAGTTGCGTAATGTCGATACTTCTCAGGGCATTGAACAACGAGTTGCGAAACATCGCTGACGAAGAAAGGTAAGCTGCCGGGCAGCCAGATGAAGGCTTTCCCAGAATCAACATCAATCCCTGTGCTTCTGACCAAAGGGCAACTGTCTAACATGTAATGATTCGCGAAATCCATGTTGTCAGACTCGAAAGCGAGGGTCTGCACACCAGGTTGAGGACCACCGCCGGTATGAAAGGTCACGGGAGACTTAGACGCACCTAAGAACCGGTCAAAGGCGTCACGCGGAATCCCTTGGTCAAACAAAGCTTTGGCCGAACCTAAGTGACGACCAGCTGCAGTGTCAGCAGCCCATTCGACGGCATAAGACGGACCGGCGGAGATGACAGGAGTACACAAGCTAGAGGCAGCAACAAGCGCAACAACAGCTTTCGCTACTGCTCCAGGTTTGCTCTTGGCTCCATCTTTGGCTTTGGCTTTCGGCTTCGGCGCAGCAGCTTTGTGACTGAACTTACAATTATCTCCATGAATGCAACCCGACGGCATCTGGAAGAAAATGCAAGGAGTCTTGCCTTTTTCAGCATCAGTCATGGCCTTTGATTTTGCTTTTGCATTTGCGTTGCGCGCTGGGGCACCAGGAGCAATTGGAGGAGGAGGAGGAGGAGGGTCTGCCTTGGATGGAGCACCTTTGGGAGGTGCAGCAGGAGGCGTAGCCTTCGTCTTTCCATTTCCTCCATCTACAGCGGGGACAGCTTTCGTTTTCGGAGCGGGTGTGGCCGACTGCAGAGACTTCAACACAGATTGCGCATGGAATCTTCACGGTCCTGAATGATCAGACCCTGAATCTTATCCCACAAGTAAGACCACTCACGCCTATACGAAGTCGCCCCAGACTCTCTGATGTCCTCAATCACGCGCTCAAGCTTGCGAATGTGTTTCACCCGATGGAAGAGCCATTCTCCGGTGAGGCGATCATCAGGTCGTTGCCCGACCGGAATAGCACTGAGAACAAGGCGAATACGATTCACAAAGTCCCTCAAGTCCTTTATGGAACTTCCGCCAAGCTCGATTTGAAACAACGTTGATGCGGTCAGAACAGAACCTCTTACCCGGTCGAGGTCGTAATGCCTTGCGATGATAGACAACATCACTCGACCTTTGGGCGACTGGCCAAGTTGACTACACCTTTCAATGTAAGCAGTGATCACCAAACCCTGTAAGTGACCTTTCAGGGGGGCTTGAGAGCGAGGGTCCGGCTGCTATCCCAAGCGCCATCCGATGCTCAGAGAACCATCCTGCTGAAATCCGAGCCCGGCAAATTTTGAGCTCTGGCGGCAACATCAGCTGTCGTGCGGTTCGCAATTTGTTCGGTCTGGTTGACAAGGAACCTGCTGCTAGAGGTGATCATGGGGAATCGTTTTCGACTGGACTTTTTCGTTTGGGTGGAGCTCTTGGACTCAGGACTTCAGCCCATCAGTTTCCCTTGGTTACCAAAGCTCTCAACAAGTTTGCTTGCTCGAAGCTTCCTGGCTTTGGATACACGACCCTTTGCATTTTCAGCAACGTTACAACAGGTCCCCACAAAGATTTCCACAACGCCAATCTTGACAATGCCGTCATCTCCTTGGGTGGTTTTTCAGGAGGAGGCGTATGGATTGAAGAACCAGGGGGGACAGTTCCATGTCCTGGTGATCCTGTCAAGCTTGGAAAGGTTCTTAGTTTCAAGAACGGTGTCATCCGGTTCAGAGCTAAGAGCTTCATTCATGCCACTATGCCGTGGAAAGGCGATCGCGTTGTGGTGGTTTTGTTCTCTGCAAAGCATCCTTCAGAAGTCAAAGAATCGCACTGTGAAGAACTTCGTGCTCTGGGCTTCCCAATCGACTCTTGTGAAGAGCCACTGCCGGCCTATGCTGCTGAGGCTCCCGAGGGTTCGGCTGCTGATGCGCCACCCGAAGGGCCTGGCGTTGATGCATCTGCTGAAGGTGTGGGTGAAGTTGAACAGGATGATGGAGCAGAGGATAAGGTTCCAGAGAGGATTCGGAAGCTTAGAGTAGAGATCAAGCAATGTCACTTGAGCGCAGGTTGTTCCACTTCCCGAAGAATCCTTTCTGTGATATCTGATATCTGTAATCAAGCTCGCATGCTTTCGAGGCGTGTGCGCAGAAAGCCTCGTGATACCGAGGAAGAACCAGATCCGTTTGAAGCTTCAGAGTTTGGAGAAGTCATTGCCGCTGATCACATTCACGTGTTTAGATCGCCGGACGACTCCGATGCTCCGGACAAGTCTTACGTCGTGTTGAGCTTGAGGGATAAGTACACTGGTTTGTTTGCAGCATACCCTGGGAATGATCGTTCAACCAGCTCCGTTGTGACTGCGTTGAGAAAGTTTGTTGGACGTAGAACTTGCTCAAGCCTGTGACTTTAGTGTCTGATGCGGCTGATGAGTTCGAAGCCGCGGTAGAAGAAATGGGATGGATCTCTTCACCATCCTTGCCTAATCGCTTTCCCCACAACGCTCAACTTGAGCGGGAGATTAGGACCTTCCAAGAGGGCGTGAGATCATCGTTCCTTGAGGCCGGGTTTTCGATCCGTCCTGAGTTGTGGCCCGTTGCTTGTCGTTATGGTGCCACCGCCTTGAGTCTGACATTGACTTCACCGCAAGATGAGTCGCTCTGTAGGTGGGATTTCAACATTGAGGATTCGGGCAGGGATGAAGTATGCATCAGAAAGCTGATTCTCGGCCAGCTTGTGTTTTACCGACATAAGCATGAAAGTAAGTTCGGCCCGAATGCTGCACCAGGATTATTCGCGGGATGGCGATTGGAACCAGGTGGTATCTATCGTTCTGTAACTCTTGTGCTTGATCTTGAGAAGCTTCGTTCCAAGATTGGTGCTTGGACTGAGCCAATCAGTGTTCCAGAAGCTGAGCTTTACGTTCGGTCTGGTGATCCTGTGTTTCCTCTTCGCAACGCAGCAGAGCATGCATTGTTAACGTTTGCCGATGAAGGCGAGGTGCCTACTCAAGACCCTCTTCCGATTCCTTTCGCGCCGCATGTTTTCACAGAGCAAGGCGAAAGGAAGAAGCTTCGTAGGATTTACATCACGTATGCTAGATTTCGTAAGATAGGTCCCACGCCTGGGTGCTATGCTGCGACAATGACAAAAGCAATCACAATGCTGAGTGGAACGCCCCACACCTTTGGTGAGCCCAGGCTACGGTATAGTATTGTATAGTTGTATAGTATGTGACCGACGCAGCGCCTTTGGTTCAAGAGTAAAAGCGTGACCGCTCAGGGTTTTACAGTTTAACTTGGTAGCGGAGCGAGTAAGCCTGAAGATCCAGGAAACCTGTGGGCCGAAGGAAACCGGATTGGAACCGGAAGAAGTATACGAGGATACCTGGAAACTGGACAGTAAGTCTTGGAATTCGCCATGAAGGTGATCATGGAGAAGATGTACAAGGACCTCTTGCGATTTGTGTTTGGATTCTGTATGAGTATCACGCT